TACACACGGTATATATAATAATACTAGCTGAATTACCCGTCGTTTCTGGGTTTATGTATTGTTGTTTTCTTGGGATTATTCGAGCATGTATCGTGTACCTCCTATAGAAAATCATGGCAACACAGTCTGTTCAAGCTTTTTTTGATGGTTTCTGATGAAATTTAATTTCTAAATAAAACAAAACATATCCTTTTTAATAGTAGTATGGTATAGCCTACAAAATAAAAAAAAAACACAATATAGATTGAAAAACTATTTAAAAAAATAATACATTACTTTAAAACCAAGAGAAGGATGATTAATTTTCAATTACAAAAGAAAAATGTCTTTAAAGCGCCCTTCCTTTTTTTTCATACGGACTGAGGACCGTCAATGGTGGAGTTAACACCAAGATTTGTAAATGTGAGCATGTCAATCAATATAATGAACTCAAGATAAGCTAAGGTAAGTGAACGCAAAATTGTTCGAAGTCAAAAGTTTATAGTTAATAGATAATAAATTTAACTGGTTACATTTTGAATTTATGTTAATTTTAAAACAATTTACTTTTTTTTTAAATTTAAACACTTAAACTACCTAATTAATCCCCACTTTTAAAGATATTACTTAGGTACATATTTACCTAATTTTATGTTATAGCTAATAGATTCCATTTTACTGTACGTGTAATTTATAAATTACACCTAACTTATATAACCAACCATTCATTACTTACAATACCTTATTTACAAAATATAATATAATAATATATATTATGTTTAATGGATACCTGTTGAACATAACAGTTATAATAGGGGAATCATTGTTGAAAAAATATCCTATTTCTACATGTTTGTGTATACTCATTACAAATTTTTAATTAATAGTTATTGTAAAATATTTTCTATCAATAAAAATAAGAATTTATGTGTGTGTAAGAAATTAGTACAACTAAAAGTCATGAGGTAAGTAAATAACATGAGCGTGTAAATGATTACAGTTTATAATTCTTACAAATTATATGAAAATTAAATTATCGTGAAAAGCCAACGCAGGGACACATGGAATGGTAGATTTTAAAGGGTAAAAGCTTGATAATAGGTGAATTCACTCTAATGCCGGCATCCGGCCCCATAATTTTTCTTTATGAAATTCTTGTAATGGGTATGCAATACAAAGAATCTAATTAATTTAAATAATTTACCTTTAGTTGGTAATTGGTAAAAATTATTTTTTTCACAACAAGTTATACCTAATACTTACTTATTTAAGAATTACAAAAATAGAAAGTACTTGATAACAAAAAAAAAAATAAATATAGAATTAGGTACCTACATCTTCACTTATGGGAAACATTTTTCATGCTATGAAAAATAAATCTACATACATATTTAAAATAATAAGCTGCTTCAATTGTTTAACTTCTATTAACAAAAATTAATTTATACTTGAATACTTATCAAAAATAATAGAGATAAATGATCATCGATTTTTAAATTAATATATTTCTTAAAGAAACTCAAATTTATTAAAAAAAAAAAAAAAAACACAAACTAGTAGAAAATATTAATAATACACTTATACTTATATAAATATTAAACAGTGCAATGTAAAATAATTTTTCTGTTTTTATGATTTTATGAAAACAATTGTACAAAAATATCTAGATCTAAGTTTTTAGAATTTTTTTTTCTATGCTCATTGAAGCTAAATTATTTAAACGATCATTTGTCATGCGATTCCTCAGAAAGGTTTTCAGTCGTCTCAGGCATGAAAAAGTTCTTTCGCAAGCTAACTTAGCATAGACTTATAACTGCGGCTAATATATTATTGTTTTTAAAAAGGGTATCAAGACCCTATTATATTGTATTTTTTTCAGATAGTTATCTACGGTTCCCTGAATATAAAAATTAAATTATTATAATAATAATTGTATTACCAAATAGTACCTAATCACAATAGATTTCTCTCAATGTGCATAATCACATTTTTGATAATTGGTAAAAATAATTATATTTAGAATTTGGGGGGGCCGGCCCTGGGCCAGAGTATATTTAGGGTGGGCCCGGCCCACCCAGGCCCCCCCTGGCTACGTGCTTGCAGAAAACAATTAATGATGTGCTGTGAATGATTCTCTTAAGTTGGTATTTCAGGACATGAGTTTTTTTGCTAATAATTAAGAATGAATGGAGAAATTAAAACAAATTAATCAATTTGAATGTTTAACTTTTATTTTTTAATATTAGTAGGTAACCCTGTAAAGGTAATTTATAGTTTATACTACGGTCTACTAATAATTATATCTTTATATCATTATATCTTCAAGTTTTTCTTGTTGAATGTCTTTGAGACATTTTTTTGAACAACTTTAAATCGAAAATATTAATGTAAAAAATATATAAAAGCTACTACTTATCAATAGCAAACAAAACCAACTAAATATTATATAATTACCATTCTTTAAGTATTAATGAAGGATCATTGTTTGCAGCAACTATTTTTCCAATCCAGTTTGTATGTTTTTTCCCTTCGATTTTTGCTTGCTCAATAATATTTCTTTTATATTTATCACTGTTAGTGTTCGCTACCGGCTATTAACTAGCATTTGGCCAAGTAACTAAATTACGAATTGTTCAGTGTTCACGGAGTTTGTGATGGGTGGGTGACAGGATAAAGTTTGTAAACAATACTTACTACGTTTACATGCACAATTAAAGTCGGTTTAAAAACTAAAGCGGTCTAATCATGCATCATGTAAACGCTTTAAAGCGACCTTAATAACATAAACCGTTTTTATTTTAAGGACGCTCGAATATGTGGTTTAACCAAATTAAATCGGTTTAATTAATAAAGTCGGCTGTATTTTTGTACATGTAAACACTCTAAATCGATCTATTTTATTTTGATAAGTGATAACATAATACCATGATATTTTATTTATAGTACAGATTAATCAGATATTTTTACGTATAACCACGATTTAAATCTTAAATCGTGCGTATAACATACGTAAAATATAAATCCTAAGTTCCTAACATCTTAACTTCTTTTATTCTGCTGACGAAAATCGAACTACGAAAGTTTAATTATTACTTATATTAGTTTTATTTAATAAAGAACTTACTAATTAGAAATGAATAACGCCAACAAAAGATGCAGTTGGAGTGCTGCAGAAATAACTACATTAGTTGATTCTGTAAAAGAAAATAACATAATGAAACTCCTTGATGGGAAAAGGTATAGAAACGCAGATGTAAGTAACAAAACTGATTTTCTAATGAAATTTAAAATAAAATAGTTGTATAAACTAATTTTCCTGACTCCCAGATTTATGAAATTGTAAGACTCGACCTAGAAAAAATAGGGTCATCTAAAACGGTTGCTCAAGTTCGAGCCAAGTGGAAGGCGCTCAAGAGTGGCTATTCTGAGAAGAACCGCATCAACAAAGTAAGTGGAAGCAACCGAATGTCCTGTGAATCGGAAAAAGAATTAGATGAAGTCCTAGGAACTCGACCATCTATAAAACCACTGGACTTTGGAACAGACTCGACAAAAGAAATTGGTAAGGACCTTTGTTTAGTTTTTGAGTTAAAGAAACGACCGTCAAACGGGCCAACTTGGGGCAGTTTTGATATTAAATAATATATTGTACATTAACTTAAGATTAATCAACATAGATGTATTTTCAATGGAACATTTTGGTTTTAGTTAAGGTTTGGTTTATTAATTTATTATATAGATAATATTTTTGCCCTAAGCTAAGCACCTACCCCAAGTAGGCCAGTTTGACCTATATATATACAAGTAACCCCTCAAGTAACTTTATAACTAAATATTTAGAAATATAAGTTAATATAAATTCCTACTTATTTAAATTTGATGTCATTGTTATTTAAGAATAAATTTAATTTCATTCATAATTGTACTTTTAAATATTGAAGTAAAACTATATAAGGACAAGTATTCAATAAGTTCAAAATAAATCAAAAATGTATTAACTATTTTTTAAATGGTTACTTTTCCCAATTGATACATGGTTAACAGTTTAATAGTTTACTATTGAGTAAAATAAAAAAGTGCAAAGTTAGATTAATTACGACTTCAACCTGAGGCCCCTAAAATTAACTCAGTCTCGAAGCCTGATAAATCCAGCACTGATGCCAATACAATATGTCTTAAAAATCATAAAATAACTTACCTAACTAATTAATATAATATAGATAATATGGAGTTCATTGATGAAATTGAAGAAAGTATTACAAGTGTTAATGAAGAAAATGAAGATGTCAGTTATGAAGTGGTTTACCAACAAGAGGACCAGTTGGACACAAATTCAACACAAAACAGAGAAACAAAAACTCTATCTCAAAAAAGGGAATTTCGCCGTAAAAATAGAAGTAAATTAACTTCTTTCTATACAAAATTACTTTTTTTTTATGCATTTATTTTGCCTATATTTTAGATTCTGGCGACTTATTGAACCTGATGGATTCTTTTAATAAAACTATGGAAGGGCATAAAGATTTTATTAGAGAAGAAAATGAAAAACAAAGAAAATGGGAGGAAGAACTATTAAAAGCTGACCAAGAACAAGCGCAGAAAGATAAAGAGGAATTTACTAGCCTTCTGACTAGTTTACTGAAGCCTAGAGATTAATTAATTACCATTATGTATATATTTTTAAAATAACTAAAAAATTGTAAACCAAAGACTGGGAAATAATGCAATAAGACAAAAAAGTATTAAGTTAATTATTTTGTTTTTAAATGTTTAATTAAGATGTTTTAAACCGTATGTCTTATATTATAATGTTGTACTGATAATTATCTGGATGGATAGTTATTATACATTTACTAAAGACTAAATATTAATTAATTACCTTATAATATAATTACCATTATGTATATATTTTTTAAATAACTAAAAAAATTGTAAACCAAAGACTGGGAAATAATGCAATAAGATAAGAAAGTATTAAGTTATAAAATTTATTTTGTTTTTAAATGTTTAATAAAGATGTTTTAAACTGTATGTCTTACATAATTTTGTACTGATGATTGTCTTAATGGATAGTTATTATACATATAGTTTTTTAAGACTTCACGAATATCCTTTGCTTGTGGTTCAGCCCGAGTAACTGTTACTTGTCGAGGTTGTGGTCTTTCAATATTAACTTCATTGACAGATCTTAACCAGCATGGATTGAAATTATCTTTTGAAGTTTCAATTATATTGTGTAATATGACACAACTATGTACTATACTAGGCATGAATTTGTAATTAATATCAGCTCTTTTCAACAACACTCTCCATCTAGCTTTCAAACGGCCAAAAGCATTTTCAACACAAATTCTTGCAGATGATAGGTAAGTATTAAATGACTCTTCCTCTGGTGTAAGAGCTCCTGTGTAACCCTTTAGCAACCAAGGTAATAAAGGATAAGCAGGGTCTCCAGCTAACATAAGTTGAATAGAGCAATCAGATATAATGCGACAATGATATGGTAATTTATCTTTAGACTGTTTAAATATATTGGAGTCTTTTAAAATAGTAGCATCGTGAACAGAACCTGGGTGCTTTACTGTTATATCTCTGAACAAATAATTACAATCAACAATACCTCGCATAACTATAGATGGCCAACCTTTACGATTGACAAAATCACGATATCCATTAGTAGGTGGTAATATAGGTATATGTGTTCCATCTATAGCTCCGAAAATTTGTACCATTCCAGTTACTTTTTCTACTGATTCAGCCAAAGCTATTGCTTCTACCACTGAAGGCATTTTTAAATAAGATGGACCAAGTACCTCAATAATAGCAATACAAACATCATACACACAATTATGCACAGAACTCTTATGAACACCAAATAAACTTGCAACCACCCTATATTCTGCACATGATGCCAATTTGTATAAAGCAATAGCCACTTTTTTCTCTACACTCAATGGTTGACGTACAGCATTTTCAGATGGTTTAAGAAAATCATTCAACTTGAAACACATTAATTGGAATGTTTCTTTACTCATTCTGAAATTTTCGAGCCAATCTTCTTCTTCAAAGTTGCTGTTTACTATCCTGTCCCAAAAATCGGAGCTTCTGTTCTAAATATCATACATTCAAATTATAACGGCGACTGATTATTAGAAAAAAATTAAAAGGTATTGATATTGCATACCTTCATCCACATCCTTCTACTCATATGATTCAAATTAAAAGTAATCATATTGTACATGAATTGATTATTTATTTCTAAAGTCATTTGAAGGTACATCATTTTTTTTTTAAATTGTCGTCGACGGCGTAGTAATAAGAGTTTACATTTACTACGACGCGCCTCGCATTTAAGTTTATACAGGTTTAAACAAGCGATTGCTTGTATAGAATTCATTTTAAGTCAACGTTTAAATAATAAACAAAAAATATTAAAAATTTAAGAAACAAATTACATTTTTTAATATTTAAATATTTTAAATATTTCAAATTTTAATATTTGATTATTGATAAGTATTCAATATGATAATGGAGATGGAAAGAAATATCAATTTCATGGAATAATGAATTTTATAACATACCAATTTTTATATTAAAGATACATGTAAACAGGTCAGGAAATTTAGATCGACTCATAATAAAATCGGTTTCAATTAAGAACGGTTCAACTCGTATCATGTAAACGTAGTAATTGTGTAATAGATAATAATATAATAAGTTGTAGCACGACAAATGTGCGAATCGTTGGCCGAGAAAACGTCTCTTGCCGAGCTCAACACAATCAAAACAATAATAATCAACAATAATAATAAACTGTGCAATAATGACTACGATAATACGATACCGGACGGCACATGCGCCGCGGTGGGGCGGTGTATCGGCGGCGGCGGCTGTGGCTGCAAGAGCCGACGACACGCAGGTGAACGGGGGGCGGCGGCTGTTGGCGGCGGCTCCGGACGATGGCGAGTTGCCGTATTACGTAACGCAAAAGTGACGTAATCACGGCACGGAAAGGCACGTCACACGAAGGGTGTGCACCGTACGCACACAATAATAATGTCGACGGCGACACGTATACGCGTTGCCGGTCGCGGTACGAGTTATGGCCCGTCGGAATTAGACGCCTATGGAAATCCGGTGTAACCGACACAAGGCAATACCGGGCGCGACAATCGGAGGCGAATACGTGACAACGACTAGCGGTCGCACGACGGACGGAAGATCGACGGTAATCGCAACGCCGCGCGCCGTCGACGACGATAAAACGGCGTCGAAAACACCTTCACGTCGGATGGCGCGGCAACACGTAATACAACGAGCGGAACAACAATAATTAGATGTAGGACGGCATCAGAAACCACGGCCGGACGCGACACACGCACGGTTGGCTCAAATAGAGCGTACGCCATTCGGCACGAGACTTGTATACGTCGCCGGCGGCGACTCATCCGGAGTCCGGCGTCCGCGGTCCGCGCGATGCGCTGTCTCGCGGACCGGTTGCCAAAGTTGTGCGAAAAACGGCGGCGAGTTCGAACAGTTAGAAACACCTTTTTTTCTTTTGAGAGGACTAATATACACTCGTCGTCTGAACTCATATTTTAAAGTTATACACGTTATGATCGTTTGTACACGACTACGACGTTTCAATTCAACCAGTACAATATTATTTTATTCACTGATAATCATTTTATTTTATAAGTAGGTATAGCAACGTTTTCACCATTATAATCTTTATTTACTGATAAACAATTGTACAAAATTTTTTTTTTTTTTATTAATTAAACATAAGACCTTCCTAGCCTAAGGCCATCTAAATCTAGGGATATTGAAAGTTTACATAATTTTTAACACTATGACATGATAATTAAAATTTTTAAGTACTATGGATAATTACAAATTACAATTGGTGTTTGTTCGCACCTACTTTTCTATTGCGGTTTGCGGCAACGACTTGCGGTGTATTGAGACGTGAAAGGGTTACCCAAGTATAAATAATGATAAATAATAGATAAACTCCAAATGCGAGTGCAAATGCGCTAGGCGCATAATTATTATAGGTAACAACAACTTAGGTGATACATAGAACAAGATATTATAAAATACTAACAGACAGGGCGCCCCAAAACATAACAATATACTTAAATCAATTACAACGTCGGTCCGCCGTCGGTGATCGGTTTACTTCATGGATGTTGATGGATGGGCAACAAGTCATCGGCGGCACACAATGAACGGCAACAAGCTAGTGGCGGCACGCAATGGTATAAGCGGCGGCACGAAATGAACGGCACGCAATGATATAAGCGGCGGCACGCAATAAACGGCAACGAGCCAGCGGCGGCACGCAATAAACGGCAACAAGCCAGCGGCGGCACGCAATAAACGGCAACGAGCCAGCGGCCGCGAACGGCCAGGAGCTGGGATCTTATTCTCGAGATCGATCGACAAGAAGTCGTGTGCGACTAAACCCGAATGATTGTGTCGTAGTCGACTGCAAAACGCTATTCTCCAAAAGCATTCGACTAAAATTAGTCGCATTCGAGATTATGTCGACTAGTAATAATCTTGTCGAGTGAACCACAATGGTATTACCTAAAATTCATTTATTATCAGAAATATTGCCGCCAAAATATGATATATTGATACACGAATTAAGATATATCTTAATTCGTGATTGATACTGATTGTTACTAATCAAATTGTTTAATTGTTAATTCTTGTTATACCTAATATACCTATTATTACCTATTATATTACCATATTAAATTAAATTTGTCATGCCTATTATCATATTGCCTATGATATGACCCAGTTCCAAAAAACTGCAATGCAATTAAAACCAAAGAACATATTTTTACATTTAAAATAGTATAAGTACCTAGGTACCTTATTATTGTTATTAATTATTATTTATTACCTTATTTTGGATGCTCAAAGCCGACGTACGTTTTGGTGGTTCCATAAATGGTGTGACTAACTCGATTAAATATTTTGTTAAAACTTTACTCAATCGGTAAGTTTTTATAAAAAGATGATCACTTAATGCTAATAAAGGGTCTACTTTAATGTCAAACGGTTGTCTGACATTTTGATATATTAGCAATAGCAAACATCATAGCTCTTTCATATTCATTCGCCATTATTGTTATATTTAATAAAATATTAACTCAGCAGTCATAAAATAAAACAACAATAATAAATTAACAAAATGAAAAGGTAATCGACAATCGTAATACAAGTACCTA